TGCGTAGGAGGCACCGTTTGTACCTATGTGGATGAGAATTCGTACTATTGCCTCGCAGACCCAGCTAACACAAGAACAACCCCAACCACTACAACATCTGCTAGTGCTGCACCCACTATCGGTCTACCGTATGATCAATGCGGCGGGAATGGTTGGACTGGTCCCAGGACATGCAAGGACTCGGTGTGCGTGAGAGTCGATGAATGTGAGTCGCGCTGCTTCGATCATGGCATGCATGCCACAACGAATCACATACTGACGTATTGTAGATTACTCGCAGTGTCAGCCACCGGTGTCATCCCAGAGATCCACCAGCACGCGAACTCAGACAACTGCTAGACCTACATCCACTCCACCTGCTCAACCAGCACCGCCGTTCACTCGCACCCGGCGCACGACCACGACCAGACCTGCACCACCAGTGGCTACGGGCCCAGTACAGCTCTATGATCAGTGCGGTGGCCAGACGTGGCAAGGTTCAACAACCTGCAACCAGGGCCTGGTCTGCTTCAAGGTCGACGAGTACTATTCGCAGTGTCAGAAACCGACCTAGAGAAGTGGAGGTAAACAGCGTTGGTGTGACGAATCAAAGGCGTTTGTGTTATTGCTGATAGAGAAGTATCTTTGATCGTACATGTATGGATTGGTGGGACGTGGAAGTTGTAGCAAGCCGGAATACAATGCGATTTTGTTTGACATCAGAAGCGTATCCCCTCTTCTTCCTTGCTCTTGAACTAACTCATAGCTTCGCCTTAACCCCAAAACTCTTCTGCACAGCCTCAACACCCCTCTTCGCAACATCCTCATCCTGACTCGGCAACCCCGTACTACACCCCACCGCACCCACAACAACTCCATCCTTCACAATCGGCACGCCGCCCGCAATCGTCATAAACCTGCCCCCATTGCTGTGGTTGATGCCATACGCCGGCCCACCAGGATACACATTGTCTTTGTAAACAGAGGTAGGCGCGCGATGACCTGCAGCTGTGAAAGCTTTGTCGATGGCGATGTTGATGGATGTGAGTTTTGCGCCTTCCATGCGGGCGAATGCGAGGAGATGGCATGCGTTGTCCATGATGGCGATGTTCATTGGTACGTTGATTTCTTTGGAGCGCTGCTCGGCGGCGGCGAGGGCGATGCGCGCGCCATCGAGGGTTAGCGTTGGGATGGATTTTGTGCTCATGATGGCTTTTGGTGGAGAGGTTTGATAGTCTGACGGTAGCAATGCGCTGCTGGACGCGATGTTATGGTGCTGATGATGGACCTCGGATATTGCAGGATAATGACGTAGGGGTGCTGTGATTGGCCCGTGTTGCGGAAGCGCTTGCTTTCGCGCGGGTCCGCTTCATCGAAGACAACATCAGCTCATAATGTTCATTAATCATACCTGCTCTCGCATTTCTCCTTTGACAGGACTCTGATACCTTTGCGAGTGGTGTTATGAAGTTCCATCACACAGCCCGGACTGATGTCTCCCGAGGTCGGCAAGCCAAGCTCACATGAAAAGCCTTGGAGGACTCCGGAAGTGCGAGCCCAGGAGTATGCTATGACGGTGACCTGCGATGACGATAGCCCAATCAACGAGATTGCTTGGCCTGTTTTGTACAGTGACAATATTCGTCGATGACTGGCTTTTCAAGTCTGCGTGGCCATCTCTTGTTCTTGGTCTGTTCGGTCATCTATTCACATCTCGCGGTTTCCTATGTCCACGTGTTTCTTTCTCGTTCAAGAACTTTAAGAAGCAGAAAGATACATCTTTTCATTCTCTCAAGTCTTAGCAAAGGTTTTGTGAAAGTTCGAGGTAGGGTCAGTGGTCGCTCTACGGAGCGCTATCAATAGTACGTATTGTCGTCCTCGGACATGCGTATTGAATTCTCGGTTCTGACAGATGCCAGAGACTGACTACGCATCGCTATGTCTTCCTTTCACTGTATGGCGATGGGCAGTATATGTCCAAGGGTGTGAAGGCGGCCATGGGGCGACATTCACGTGTCTTTTCCACCTTCACTTACTAAACTGCCTGATACGCGAATATGGGTCCGTGGTTACCAGTGCGTCATGTGCTATTCACGACGCGATCTCCAGAAACTTTTCTCTCAACTCACCCAACTCTTCCTCGTCCCACGAACGTTGACCTAGCGTCACCATAGCCCGACAGCAAAGGAAAAGTTCGCGACCTACTTCACTATCACGACCATGAAAGAAGAAGATATCCTCGCGCGCCAATCCCGTCCGCAAAAGCATTCTACCTGGGTCCCCAAAAGCCGCGACTGGCGTTATGCGACCGGCGTTTTCCAACACGATGATAACGAAACCGCGCCCAACGATCGGTCAGCATGGGATGACATGGACTACGACTATCAGGTCGCAGACCCGGGCAAGAGTAGGAGTCGGAGTGGCAGTGGGCAGAGCTATGGCGACATCAAAGCGGTCGATGTAAGCGCCCCGGTGTCGGCAACTCCAAAAAGCGCAAAGAAGAGAGCCCTCTCGGATATCCCGAAAGCCACCGTAAAGATCCGAGCATTCAAGAGGAAGTCAAAGTCAAAGACTGCGAAGAAGAACGTATGGATGTCAGTAGCAAGGCGCCAGCGGATCAGCCATGACGATGTAGAGGGCGAAGAGCCAGACTACCAGACCTATAGCTTAACCGTCAGGTTGCGCTTCTCAGGCAGGCTCATCATAGAGGATGCGCTTCCGGCTGTCTCAACACCAGGCCCTATGCATCTCCAACAGATACCAGACACACCTGCGAACTCCAGCATACCTTTCGATCCTCATACCCCTGCCACAGCTCGCACCGCGGCCTCGCTCTACACACCACACATGTCGCATTCGGGCGAATCTGTACACACATATCCTCCCTTCCAGCGTCCATGGGTAGACGAAACAAAAGACTTCAATATGCGGGCAGTCCGCGGGGTTCTACAGAAACCCGGATTCGTAGGCAAGGATCTTGGAGTGCATTATACATGGTACAACGACGCAGTCCCCGTAGACGCTCTACTCCCCCCAGGGGTACCTCTATCCGCCAAAGAAGTCATGGCCTACTACCCCCATCACGTCCGGTGGAAAAGCATGATGGTCCGACTAGCGAACAACGACTATCGCGGTGCGGATATCGTTGGTATGCAGGTACGTCTTCGTTCTTCTAGTACCATGAGATGATCTGTAGCTGACAATACACAGGCATTCTTCCGTGGGCCCCCAACAACGGACATCACAGCCGCAGTCATGAACCAGTTCCAACGCGACTCAGTCAAGAAGATCATTGAGGGTTTCAAGACTGACACTATCAACGGAAAGCACGATGCAAACTTACATACCGACCGCCTGGAGCCAGGCAGATACATCGCGGACAGACGTAGTGGCTATGTTTTGCCGACTTTCGGTGATCTCCTCGCTGGCCTGAACCATCTACCGTCGGGTCTTGATGCTCGCGGCCTCACGGAGTGTCTGAGCTGGTATCTCCATGTCCGGGACTCTTTTACGCCAAAGCTGGAGTTAAACGTCCTGCATACACAAGCTTTGATCCGCGCGCTTCGCATCCCGCTCAAGCGGTATGGGCCGCAGAATCTGGATTGCAACGCGCTCAAGGAGTGGAAAGAGAAGGGGAGGTTTGAGGAGCGGAAGGTGTATTACGAGCCAGCCAGACCTATGTCGACAGAAGCAGAGAATACCGCGCAGAAGAGATCGCAACTGCACATGAACCTAGACAACCACGAAGTCAAGCTTGACTACCAACTCCAGCTCCGCCACGTCCTCACGGTCCCTTTCCTCGCTCTACACAGGGCCATGGGCGAGGCTCTCAAACTGGGTATCGAGAAAGCCGAGACCAGGATGACTGAGCGCGTGACCGCTGAGGGGAAAAAGATGTTGGAAGCTAAGTGGGCTGCGAGAGTAGCTGAGACGGCGGGACCAGAGGAAGAGGTGCGGAATGTGGAAGCGCAACAACTACAAGCGAAGGTGGAGAAGCCCGAACCGATTGTTCAAGCAGAGGGTAGCGCAGAGGAACATCATCGAATTCCCCGAACGAGCCTCACGGCTGAAGCACTGCGTACTCTTGCTCCTGCACCGAGGAGAGCGCCTGCTGTGCCGTCATCGAATGGAGGGCCACTCGGTCACTGCGCACCGACTGTACCGTCGACACAAACATTCGGTAGACAGCCTCATGGGACGCCTGAGCCCGTGTACTCGGACCGGGCCTGGGGTACACCATCACCTTCTTCCGCATATGCGCCTCGCTCAGTGTATGGAAGGAGGGAGTATGAGTCGCCAAGGCAGACAGATCAAAGGAGTGGAACGCAGCGTGGTGGATGGGGAGATAATCGTGGTGGATCATATCGTCCAAGAGATCGGTAAGGGCGACACTTTATTGGCGGATGAGGGGTGGGATGAGGATGACGTAGTCACATAATGGCAGCAAAATCGATGTTATGATGAGATTCCACGAAAACATACCATAATGTCGGGTTCGGAGAGAGATAGGAGGCTGAGGGTAAAGTCAGCAGGGTGTGAAGTAGAACAGACGTACCCCGCGTCTGGATGTAGGCAGCAGCCATTACTGTGCCGCTTGACGTCGCGACTTCTCACCATCTCCAGCCTGCGAACACGATGCACTTACTTATTCACCCACCTGAGTATTATGTCTTTAAATAGTCAAGCAAAATGTTCAAAATCTTGTCTATCATCGTTGGTGTAGTAGCAATCCGGCTTGCCATCTCCTACGCTCAGGCCATCGCAGTTGAGCTCCGGGAAAAGCCCACATCGAAGTTGCCAGTAGTTGGCATTTCGCTCACTGCAAATCATGGGACAGCAGCAGTTCGATGGCCGGACGGAACTTTCGAAGACCTGGGCCGAGTGGAGGCATCGAAGGCGTATGTGAAGATGATGCGACGTCTCTCTCTGCCGTCTTCAGAACATATAACGTGGGTCGTGGCTTTCCTGTAGTTATGCATACAAGTATTGACCATGTACATTGTAGCCGACCATATGGCAGCATGGAAGATCTGTGGAACGACGCGCCACGAACGCTATGGCGGAACACACGGAAGAAGCTTGGCCTGGCAGGTTCTGACGATGCAGCTACATTAGCCGCTATGCTCAAGAAGACAACGAAGATGGCGGAGAAGAAACTTGGTCATCGGCCATGGGCGATACTGAGCTTTCCCCCGTTGTTGGCCTTATATCAGGAATGCGTCGCAGATGCGGCCGAGTACACCGGACTTTACACGCTGACGGCGGACCTGGGGTATCAGGTGCATGAACTCACTGCCGCATATGCCGGGCATGGAATGGGGCTGGATGAGAGCGACGTTGAACTGGTAACTCGTGGCAAGAAGCCACACGAGTACGGTGGACGACACACAGTCCTTGTTGAGTATACCGAAACTGCGATTTTGCTGCATGGCAAGCCGATGACACATGCTCGCAATCTCGCGAATGTCGACTGTTTCCGGTCGAGTTTTGAGCTGGGCAGCAGCAGTTCAGCGTCTGAGGAGCAGCCACGCGAATTTGTGCTAGAGTACTTGCGCAAGGTGTATCATGGTTACACGAAATATCCTTTTGTCTATCCCAAGGAATTCATTATCATAATGACGGGAAGCGCTAAAAGTGTTGGCCGCGAGGAGATTCGAGCGGCAATTGCAGAAGCGGTCAGATTGTATGGGTTCCAGGCCAGGATCCTGTATGATAACCCTGGATATGTAGCAGCGAGGGGCGCGGCTGAGATCGCATGGCGAACGCTGCTAGAAGCGGAGAAAAAGAAAGAGAAGATAGAGTTGTAAATGGATACGTGCGACGACATGAAATCGTTCTTGTAAACCTACAGCCTCACAGTCAGCGAGTCACGAATTGACCTTTTCGCACTATGCATGCGAATACGTCTGTGCCACCAAGTTGTCAAGATCGTGCTGACCAGGAAGACCCTCGTAGTACGCAACGCCACTTAGCAGATCACCCGAGACCGGAATCAACAGTTTTGCGAAAGAGTTGCCGGAATCGGTATGTTGGGACCTCAAACTGCACGTTTTGGCGAGTTGGTGGTTCTTTCGCTTGGATGAATCGGAACCAAAAAATGTGTTGTGGGACCGGAACCTGGCTTGTAAGACTAAGCACACGTGGATTCATGAGAATTAATAGTGCAATTGCTGAATAGATAAGTGCGTAGAGATCGTCTGTTTCGCGGAATGCCTCGAGTCAGAAGAGCTGAGGTTGCTTTTTCTGAGATGTCGTCGGATCGTGGGTTGTCTTGGAGAAGACGCTAAAGCTAAAGCGTGTCGGAAACGTGGAGAACAGCTTACTCTTTGGTACCCCGCCAGCTCACTTGAAGCCTATCTGGAATGCTGGAATGATTATCGCGTGTCTGCGAATATGGTTGTTTGTCTAGCGATGTGAGGAGATCTGTAATAGTGATCTGCACAGGGTTCGGGCTGGGCACCTCAACGATGACGAGGGCTAGGATGCCGTCGCCAATTCGGCCCTCGCCCGCGCCTGCTTTCCTAGTCGTACGCCCGCCACGCGCTCGTGGCTGCCTCTCCTTATGCACAGTAGTCGCGCTCTTACTAGCTTCTTAACTTAATGTATGTTGTTTAGTGGTTTATGTATTCACTCCCACCCGACTGTGACTTGAAGGAGCGCACCTCCGCGGCCAGAACGAGATAGGAGAGGTCCAATGCCCGACCAGCAGCGCCGCTCATGGCACCAGCCTGACGTTACTAATCTGCCCCCCGACTCGTACACTGCGCAGCGACTGGTATGCATGGCTGCAGACTACCGTACGCATGTCGCAAGCTAAGAGGAGTAGGAACATGCCACGCCCGAACATCTGCATCTCACGACGAGACGCTACTTCATCGGTCCTATCCCCACGGCATGGCTGACCAAGCACCGCTCCGATTGGTAAGAGATGTTGCTGCAGGAACTGCCTATGCGACATGTACTGACATCGCACGTTCAGGTACAAGCACCATCTGCGAATCAACTACTCGACGCGTACGGCGACCTTCTCCTCAGACCCGCGTGAGGCGCGCCAACGACGACTGAGTGGCCTCGAAGGCCCCAGTTCGTCTGCCCTCTTCCAGCACAGCTTCCCCCAGCCCGAGGAACTTCAAGCAGAGGATGAGGAAGGCGCGCAAGAACTCGAGGCCAGCGGAGCCAATGGCGCGGCGGATGCGACTGCGGCGACTCCACCCGCCTTGCAAGTGCCGCGCGCTTCAGACCACAAGAGCGATGTCATGGACGATGACGAAAACGACGAGTTCGTAGACGCGCCCTCGGAGCCGGAAGACGACGACATCGAGCGCATTCCCACCAACGAACGGACAGTCCGCCGATCGAGTACGGACAAGACGTATATCACCGCATCCTCGATACCCGCAGACGAAGATGATGACGAAGACGAACAAGGATCGGACGAAAGGCCGCTGCAGGGGCAACACCAACAACAAGCACAGGCAAGTGGCTTACAAGTTCCTTCAGGCCAAGGGCAGGCAGGATCAACGTCACTAGGCAAACGCCCACTGTCGAATGTAGAGAGCCTTGGGAGTCCTGCATCAGCTACCGGAGCAGCCTCTGTAGATGCAAACTCCACATCGTCTTTGCTGCGTAAGGCTGACATGAACAAGGCACCGGCCTCGGCTGATGTCGATTCGAAACCGCCTGCGAAGGGTATAATGGCAAGAGTCAGGAGAAGATCAGGCAGGATGTCCTCTACCGCGGAACTGCCTCAAGACACAGACCCTGCCACGGGAGATTTGACACGCAAGAAGTCGAACCTTCGGAACCTTGTGAAGTTTGACATCCCGGAGGACTCCCGACGTGCCACGATCCAGCTCAAAGCGAAGAAGGCGCAAATGACTGTTCAGCGAGCTGGCACCAAGATAAGACGGCAGAAGATCAAAGATGGCCTTGTCGTCAAGATGGAACGCATGCTTGTGCGAGTGGATGCCGCCGCAGAAGTTCCCGAAGACTTTGACGAAAACGTCAACCAGAGGGTCGTCTCCCGCGTCAAAGATAAATGGCGGGAGTACATGGTCGTCTGTCGCCACAGCCATACCAATGACGCAGAATTTCTGCTGCAGCTTTACCAAACCCGGGTACGTTTCTCTCGCGCTTTCATGTGCGTCAAGCTACTAACTTCGTTCCCAGGTCATCCCGGAAATTGAGAATGCAGGAGCAGGCAAGAAGGCTGCCTACGAAGTTCCGCTGGGGAAGAAGACCTGCAAGGTCAATCTCTACTCATCGTTGGACAAGTCAATGGTCGTGTCTTCACCAGGTTCACGCGAAACCCTGATCTTCATCATGCAAGCTCGAACCGCGTCCAATGCAGTAGAGTGGTATACTTTTCTACGGAACGTCCTTGGCTGGCAGCGTGCTTCCGAGCTCCAGATCAGCATACCAGACATGAGCTTGAGCATACGGATCGCCAACCCATTCGAGAAGTTAGAGGCATCGCAAAACAAAGTTCAGGATGCAGAGAACACCGAGGAGGCTCTGCTGAGGACTATGCAAGAGGAACAGGCGGTTGCTCAAGATTTGATCAAGCGCTGCTTGGATCAACTGCAAGACGCACCGGAGTGGGCTGACGTGCTGGAATCGTGGATCAAGGACCAGCGCATAGGTCTCGCCTGGAAGCGCTATGATCGACTTGAGTGGATACATGGCGCGAACGAGCGGAAGATGTACGGCACGATAGCTATGCTAAAGTCGCACGAACTGGAACTGAGGCCCAAGACACACTATCCTACAACTGCAGTGACAAGGAAGAAGCAGAAGACCTTGACTGAACCGGTTCCCGTCGAAGGTTTTCTCATCCGACTGACAGGGCAGCGAGGACGGGCGAAGCGACTAGGCCTCATGTACCACAAGCAGCTCTACTTTGCCAGCCACGATCAGTATCTCGTCTTTTCACGACCCACAAAAGTCACCCCACCTCCGCCTCCGAGGCTACCTGCGTCTGGAAATGCCAATGTACCGACAGCGCAAGCGGTCAAAGACGCGGTGCCAGAGAGCTGGGCTGTGAGCCCTTATGGCCTCCAGGATGGGCAGATTGAGTGGCTGATGGAGGGCCACTCAGGTACGACGGAAGCCAGGCGTCTGCATGATGAAGATGCAGCAGATGAAGCGGCCCGCAAAGAGCAAAACCTGCTCAATTGTGACGGCTATATCAGCTTGGCAGATGTTGTCAAAGTCCGCAAAGCCCAGTTGGGCGCCAGTCCTGCTGATGAAGACCTGGAAGAAGGCTCGGATGTGGACTTTGACGAGGAGGTCGACGACTCTATGCGCAACGACGGAGCTACAAAGGACCTCGACATCGATCGTACTCTCGAGTTGGTCATGAAGAATGGCCTCATCATTCGTCTACAGGTGCGTAACTCTTTGGCATACATCTTTGCTCTTGACTGACATGATATCCAGGCCGCAGATAAAGCTCATCGGAAAGAGTGGATACAACACCTACGCGCTCTCGCCAAGTACTGGAAACACCGTACCGCATCAGACATTGCCCTCTATAAAGCCACACGTAGTCGCAACCTCAGCGCCCTTAAGATTGACGAGGAGGCAGAAGCACACGTCGGGCAATTCGCGAGGAAATGGGAGGTGACTCAATCGTTTGCTTCACCAGAGCTCTACAACATATGTGGTATCGCTTGTTGTCGCAGCGTTCATATGAGCGGAATGTTGTATCGCAAACCGCGTATACATGCGCCCTTCACACGATGCAGCGTTCTGCTGACTGCCGGCACACTGCTCATCTTTCGCGATGTCTTGCGAAGTAGGGTTGGCAAACAACTGGCGCACATCCACCACGAACGCATCGCGAATCTCGATCTAAAGGACTGCTACGTCTACTCTGGTCTGCTTACAGAGAATGACCTCCTCTATCAGAATCAAACTTTCGATGCGAACAAACCAGGACACCACGCCCTCCCACGAATCTACCTCGAAGATGGTTGGACATCGACGGACGAGGACGTCATGACTACATTTGTTATATGGCATGGCAAGGCAAAGAGCTGGTTCCGCGCCGAAGAAGGTGCAGGCGGCGGTGAACAAGTTCGCAAAGAGGGCAAGCGCACAAAGCTCAAGAGGGTAGCTAAGCTTGGAAGTAAAGGCCGTAGCGTGGTCTTTAGGGCGCGATCGCGTGCAGAGCGAGACCATTGGGTACTTGCAATACAGAACGAGATCGAGCGAATCCAGGGCGACAACGCGGACTTCAGACTCGAGGAGAGTGGTGAGAATGGGAACTGTGGTCGGAGTAATACTAATACATAAGAGGATGATGGTCTAAGGTGTTATGAAGGCTTGTATCGTGTATGGATTATTGCTCTTAATAGGCGTACTGAGTCTTCAGCGTTTAGGACTCAGCACGGCGGTGGGCGGTCTGGACAGGTACATCCTCGCATGCTTGCTGTTAACAATTGACCACAGCGTTTGAGTTATATACATAGGTGCGCATAATGTCATACTATCGAAGTGTCCAAAGTACCTATTTTGCCACACTCCTCTGACATATGGCGGTTCTTCATTTTTCATTTGCACTATCTCACCTACACTGACGCCACCACCCGGTCGCGCGGTGTCGCTACGCCAACGCGATGGGTAAGTTCCCACGCGAACGCTTTCACATTCACACTCAAGGACAGCGGACGCGTTGCCTCTGCCTAATCGCCTCACCCGCACTGCAGCCTTGGCGCTATCAAAACACGCTCGGCCCACTCCCCGCACAAACAAACGCCCGCCTCCGTAGATAAATAGAGCGATACCCCGCCCTCACCTTCTCTTA